CCAAACTTAACAAAAAGCTGGAAGCAATCAACTTGAGCTGGTCTGTCCCCAAACTCAGCATCCACCATCCGCCCTCCACCATGCCTTCAGTCCACGGCCTTTCCCCACCAGGGCAGCTGGCTGAGAAGTCACCTAACAAAGACTGAATGCCACTGAGCAAATGGGTCCTCGGACACTGGTCATTCAATTTCAGTTTTTAGGATCTAGGGTGAGATCAAAGAATATTCTCTCTGATCCTGATCATCTGGTCTGCACCTGTCCCAGGCCCGAGAGAGGAAAGAAACGGAACGCCGCTAGGATGAAGGCCAAGGCAGTATTTCAGGAGATCCCTTCCTCTCCCAGCAAACGTGTCTATAAACCTTTCAAAACAAAGCATATCAGTTTGCTGCTTGAACTCGTCTTCAGCTGTAGCATCTAAACCAGTTCCATTTGCCCTCAAAATTCATGACCCACGTTCAATCATGCATTAAAGCTTTGTTAATTAAAAAAAAAAAATGTGGCTCTCCACTTTACCTTCAAAGGTAAATCCTTTTCCATTCTGGTTCTTAAATCAGTAAGAAACTATTTCTACATTTTCTAGAATGTAAATCCAGGGGCCTTGGACATGTCACTGTTTAACAGGAGTGGATGAAGTTGGCATTAAATTGCAATGGTGAATACATGAACAGTCACATGCTGTTCCTGGGTAAGAAATCTTCATGAGAAAAGTAGAATCTTGCGAAATTAATCTATGCCCATTCGTATTCTACTAATCAAATCCTCACTCAAGGTTAGGTGGCTAACGAGGGAGCAGAGTCTGGAACCCAGAAGAGCCCAGATGGCTCTGGTTAAGTTTCATCTGGACCATAAACTCAGGAGCAAGCCTAGACACCTTTGTAAGGGAAGAGTGCCATCGTAACAAGGGAGCTTGTTTTATCACCTATCCGAGCGTGTTATAAAGCTGTAGTTATTGCATTTTCTGTTCACTGGACGGCAAGTTTCATTTACCTCTGTGTAGTTTTGCTTTTGTTGTATTCTAGTCAGTCTCGCTTCCATCATCGGTTGGAATTCAGTTCAGCTACAAATTGCTGTCGCTACAATGAATTATGTTGCCGCTGTTAACTGAAGCCCCAAACTAGCCGTTTATGATTTTGTGTTACGGATTTTCTCATCTGCAAAGAGGGCTACTAAGCTACGTGCAACTTGTCCTCACCATAGAGTACAGAGAAGGCCTGGGACAGATTTGTCTAGGAACTCAGGAAAATCCTTCTGAACCCATTCCCTTGATGAAAGAGGCCCAGAATATACCAATGTAAGCATCATCCCATTTTTCTGAGCAATGACACGGCATTCCTAATAAACAAAACGGAAGTCTGAATTACAGAGAGTTTTGTTTATTGTCCCCTCTTGTAGTATGGTGGTGTAAGTCAGCGGCAACACCTGCTACATTAATTTAAAATAAAACCGAAAGTTAGACCCTTATGAAATATCCCAGAGTCCTGGTAAGGAATGATGAATTGCATGCTGAGTGTGCTTTTATTGATAAGTTAATTTAGAAGTGTGCACCTGTGGATTTATCTTCCAGCCTGTATCGCTAATAAGGCTTAACACCAAAATCACCTTTCTATAATATAACATGTCCTTCGAATAGACTTCCTGCCAGTTTAAAGCCTCCCCCTTGACCCTCACCTGCCAATAATTAATCTTCCCTTAAATAGAACGTCCTAGTAAACAGATGTGCTTGCTGTTGCGTCCAGATATTCTGGAAATCTCAGCTTCTAACTTTCACGTAACAGAAATGCATCCCAGAAAACAGAGTCCCCTACAAATCATATGCTCCTTTTTTCCCCTTGAGAGCGTCATGTTGCTGAAGGAAAGGAAAGTGTTCTGACTTTAGCAGATGAAGAAAAGCACAGGCAGGTAATATGTTTTATTTGAGACACCTGGAGGCTTCACACGTGTTATCACCTTCTTTTTCATATATGACATCTATATTTAGTTAAAAGGACTTGGGGGAATCTACTCAACAGCAAACAGCTTAAATTACTTTTTAGCAGTTGAGTTGATGCCCCAAGGAATAACCATAATGCACCTTCTAAATATAATCAGAGGCCAAAGGGACAGGCTTAAGAAAGCTCCATCAATGTGTTAATTCATTTATTCCATGTGGATCTGAGTGCTTCCTGTGTAGGTATTTCTGTCCTAGTGCTGAGAGGAATACAAGATAATATAGGACACTCTCCTTGCCCTGAAAATATATCTAATTTAGCTGTGGGGGAAAGACATGAACACACGACAATTCTTAGTAATCATGAAAAGGATTTTGTGGTTAAATATCAACTATTAGTACTAATTAAGTAAGAGGGATGTCAACAGAGCCCCCTATTGGAGGAGCTGGAACCTGAGCTGGGCAAGACTGCTCAATGTCCCTAAGCAGATGAATCAGAGCAGTGATTCAGCTCCACCTATAAGCTGTGTGCGGACAATGCATTTACCCTCTTTCTCACTGTTTCCTTCCCTATAAGATGGATATGTGTTAATCACAAAAGGCTGTTATAAAGGTTAAATTAGATAATAAAAATAAGACGCTGAGTTCAGAGCATAGAATATAGTAAGCACTCAAATAGCTATATCTTTTTTTTTTTTTTTTTTTTTTTTTTTAACAAGTAAAAAGAATGGGTGAGCTAGGGCTTGGAGTTAAACTGAGTGTGACATTTTCAAATAAAGACACAGTATTTTTAATCAGAGAATTGGCAGAGATGCCGTTTGGGAAGACAATGAAGGGAGGCACTGGGCAAAGAGAAGGAGGAACGGTAGGAGGATTGGGAGAAAAGGGTGATCAAGAAGACAAGAGAAAAGAAGAGGAGGAGAAAGAGTATGGTCCTCTTGTTATCAGGAAGTTGTGGTATCCCTTTCCCCAATGAGTGCTGGGAGAGGAGTTCTTAGAATATCTGGAGAGAAAGAATTTTCTGAGACTCGCATGGGAAGATGAGTGGTTTTTATTTGTCTAGAATTACATCGCTGTGTTTCTGTAGCCTCATTTCCCTTAATCCAGTCCTGGAAGAAGTGCAGCTGGGGCTTCCATAGAGCTAAAAGCAAAACCAGTGTCCAGAGTTTCCCTTGCATATTGCAGTGGGGCCCAGTACAGCATCAGTCCATTGTGTGTGGGGTTCGTCTGATGGTGGGCCATGTGGCCAAATGCAGGGGAGCCAACTCTCAACTAAAAAAATGCAACTTGTCCACGCCATAGAAGACAGAAAAGTTGGTGGTGGAGAGGAATATATAATTTAAAGAGAGTCTAGAGACAAGAAGAGATGAAATATTTAAGTTGCTTCTGCTCATAAACCTTCAGCTTCTACTTTGGAAGAGATAGGTTGGCATCCATTTGTAGACTATATGAGTAACTTATTTTTACAAATGATGAAGGCACTCCCTTCTTCACTAACCATAAAGACAAATCATTCCTAATTTTAAAGTTTAAAAAAGATTTCCCTACCTCCCTGCTTTTCTTTCTATGACCTCTTGCTTGGCTCTATTATTTCTTTTTTTCTTTAAATATATTTTTATTTCAGAGTGGAAGGGAGAGGGAGAGAGAGACAGAAATATCAATGGTGAGAGAGAATCATTGATGAATGCCTCCTGTACTTTCCCTACCATGGATTGGGCCTACAACTCAGGCGTATGCCCTGACTGGGATTCAAGCCATGACCTTCTGGTTCATAGTTTGACGCTCAACCACTGAGCCACACCAGCCAGGCTATTCTTTTATTTCTCTTTCAGTCACACTTCATCTTAAGATTCTCTTAAAATGGGAGAGTTGTTTTTGTTTTTTTTACTCATCTCATTATACAATTTTATTAAAGGTCAAAGATTATATTTGCCATTTTGAACGCTTGCACTAGCTATTGGTAGGCAGCATGATTGAAAGAATACGCTGCTTGAATCAGCAAGATTTGGAATTAAGATGTGGTCCTGTTTCTAGAAATGTGTGGGAATGGCATTGACCTGTGGAGAGTTGACAGCATTTTGGTTCCTCAAAAGAGTCATGGGTTCCGTTCAAGTTTTTCAATGAAGTTTGGCCTGATTTGTTTAACTCAACTGAGTTTTCTGAACCACGTTCCCTGGTTCATATGGGAGAGATGCCGGCCTAGTATCAGTACCTGTGATCCATTTCTCATCCAAGGTTGCCATGCATGAGGGTTTAGTTGGCATGAGCCAGTTTATATTTGGAAGCTACTAAGGGCTAAGGTCTAAATTGGTAATTCTTGAGCTATCCAGTTCAAGGAACCAATGGGGAAATATATCCACAGGTTAGAGCAATGGATGTCATTTGCAGCAAGCACAAAAGTTGGCCTCAGTGCGGAGCTTAGTGCTCGATCTTCATCTGGTATCCTCTCAGGTCAAATGGCCTCATGTGTTTGAGTGGAGATTAGGGTGTGGATCAAAAGGTGGGGAAAAAATATCAATGCAGTCAAAACTCTGTCAGTGTTACTTTTAAAAATAAATGTATTTTTATTGATAAAGTATCAATAAAAAATTTTTATTGATAAAATATCAAGGAAGTGAGAAGGAAAGAGAAAAAGAAACATCAATGATGAGAAAGAATCATTAATTGGCTGCCTCCTGCAAGCCCCCTACTGGGGATCAAGCATGCAATGCAACCCGGCCTGGGAATTGAACCACAACCTCCTGGTTTATAGGTTGAAGTTCAACCACTGGACCACAGGAAGTCACTTTTTTGATATAAGAACAAAACAAACAAATAAAACCCACAGGCTGCATATATGCACAGCCTATGGACATAGACCGTAGCGTGGTGAAGGCCTGGGAGGGGCAAGAGAGGGGTGGAAGGACTCAATGGGGGAAAAAGGAGGATATCTGTAATATTTTCAACAATAAAGATACTTTTTTAAAAACAGAGAAATAAGCTGTATGCTTCACGTATAGAAATTGTTATTCTTCTTAGCCATTTTGCTCCCAAAACAGCAGTCCACTGATGTGCCGTTCTGGTCCACCCACAGGTGTCTCAGAAGTGGAATTGGAGGTGTTCTGCCACTGTCATAACTCCTTTGGAAGCTTAGGACACCCACTGGACACCTCAGTGGCTTCAGGTAAATCATACTTCATGCTGGGTAAAATATAAATTAAAATATTACTAACAATGAAATAAAATGTGCTAAATAATGGGAGTTGTATATATTATAGTTAGGAAAAAGAGGCAGGATGATACAGTGAAAAACAGACATTGGAAACCTAGATTAATCCTGTATAACAAAAGCCTAACGTGTAAATTGTCCCCTGGGACCGGGAGTTCAACTGCTCGCCATGATGTGCACTGATGATCAGGGTCGGCATGGAACATGGCAGACATTGGTGACTTGGCGCTGGCAGCAGGTAGCAGTGAAGGCCCTGCTGGCCCTGATGGGCCCAATGAGAGTGGGACCTTGGAGGGATAGTGGAACAGGTGAGCGGGTGGGGCCAGGCCAAGGCAGGTGCAAGCAGGCCTGATTGTCCCGAAGATGGTGAACAGTGGCGGTGGCAGGATGGTGGGTTTTGGCCCTGCAGGCAGGATGGTAGAGCAGGTGAATGGATGGTGCCAGGCCATGGCAGGGTGCCAGGCAGGGCTGTGAGGCTTTGAGTGCAAGCTGGGGCCCGATCCCTACAGGCTACCCCAAGGGACCCCACCTGTGCACCGAATTCATGCACTGGGCTTCTAGTAGTGTGATATTGAGCAGATTAGTTAACCTTTTGGGAACATGTCACCCACGAACCTCTTTGTCTTTATTTTGCCATTCCTTCTATCTAGATTACATTATTGTCCTCTATGTGGGGATTCTGTTCTTCCCTTAAGACAGGCCTAAATAAAAACAACATCCCTTTGAGACTAAAATGCATGGTGGAGGGGAAAAGGGGGAGGACTTGAAACCAATTCTGCATCACTCATGCTTCTAAATTGAGCTGTATACTTTTTCTTTTTCTTAGATACCACTGTTACACTTACCTTCCTTTGGCATTGTTGCATCTTGTCATTCTATTACGCTAGAACAGCCGTCTCCCAATTTCCTGCAGCATCCAATCTAAATAAAATACTGGCATTTAGGAACCTGGATAATCTCTTCCACTATAACCACCCTCCTCTTCTGTAACAGTTTTGTCTGCTCTTTACTAAGCTGGTGCAGCACCTCCTGAATTGACATCACTCACTTACGCTATTAAGTGTTCACACTGTTCTCTAAAAGGGCTGGGCTGCCCTCCCACCATGGTTCCCAATGTCCAAACCTCATCCATCCTTAAAGCAAAACTACTCTCCTTATTACCTCCATCGAACTTTCTTTTCCTAACCATTCCAACCATCAGTAACTTCCTTCTCATGGGTGCTCTCGCACCATTTAAAATCTTGTCACATAATTTTAGCTCTTCATCAGGTAGTTTCTCATTTATTGCTATTCTTCATAGGCTTTTAAGGGCCACTGGGATAGAAAGTTGCCTTTCAGTCACTGAGAAATTTTAGGAAACTAATCAGCAGTGACTCCACAGCTACCCCAGGCAACTCTATGGACAATGTGGGAAGTGCTAGCTCATGCATTGGCTCTCTGGCTTACGTCTTTTTTTTTTTTTTTTATCTTCTGTCCACATTGCTTGCCAGGCTGAGTTTGAGCCAGCTGGATTTCAACAGGTTCAAACAGACTATCGGCTAATTTAAATTCCCATCTTCCTTGATTAGATGTGAAATGGTATAGCTGGGTGTCCCTCCCAGGATAGCCACTCAAGACCCTATGTTATCAGTTAATTTATCTTGAGAGCTGAACAGAGGAGATTTTGACAGTTCTGTTGTTAAGGACCTGTGAAATTATGACTGGAACAGAATTTCAGAGATAGTGCCAGATTATAGACCTGAAAGAATATATTCACTGTCCGCTGCATAGCAAACATTAAATGCCCTATAAACTCCATTGTATATATCACATTTTTGTCATGGGATTTGATTGTAAAAATTCTTTTGGTGAGGACTCGTATTCTCATTCGTAGGACAATCAACCAACAAGATGAGAGGCTTTTGATTACTTAGAAGAAAAAGGAAATTACCACACAATATGCCAAAATTACCGCGTCTCATTTCTTATAGTAGTTTCCTTAAATAATTTAGAATTAGGGATGATTTTTCAGGAAAGGCATGTGAGATACCATAGAAACATAGAATGTTAAAGGTATACCTTTAGAGGTCATATAAGTAAAATCTTTTTTTTTTTTAATATATTTTATTGATTTTGTACAGCGAGGAAGGGAGAGAGATAGAGAGTTAGAAACATTGATGAGAGAGTCATCGATAAGCTGCCTCTTGCACACCCCCTACTGGTGATATGCCCGCAACCAAGGTGCATGCCCTTGACCGGAATCGAACCCGGGACTCTTCAGTCCCCAAGCTGACGCTCTATCCATTGAGCCAAACCGGTCTTGGTTTTTTTGTTTGTTTGTTTGTTTTGTTTTTACATCTGGTAAAACTGAGGCTTTTGGGGAGTAGAGGAGAGTGTGTGTTCAGAGACCTGCCTAAAATCACAAAACTCATTCTCATCAGAGAGAGTTCTACAAGCTAGACTTTATTTTAAAAAAGTGCAAAACAGTGAAATTCTACCCGGACTAAAGGGAATTCATGTGTCACTTGTACTTAGGACCTAACAAGAACTTTTGAAAGTATGAATCCAGCTCTCTTTGTGACCACAGATCCTCTCGCTGAGTGCTAGGATGAATAATTAGGTACTATAGCGAATTCTTGGGATTGAAACAAATATTAGAAAAGGCATGTATTGTTCATATGGATTCCTTGCAGAAAATCCATTCTTACACAAACACCTATGTTGCTAAGGATGGTCTGAAAGTATGTGGCTTTATTAAGAGAACATTCTTTGTAAAGGCACTTTTTTTATTCATGCAAAAAAAAAACAAAACAAGACAAAAATAATGCTACCCAAATTATGATGACAATATTGACCGTTACTCATATGTCCCTTCTGTGCATCAGAAAACTCAATCTTAGTGAGGGTGAGCCTGAATCTAAAGAACTAGTGAGTGGAGTAATCAGCATTAAACTGTGTCTTCTAACTCCTACTTCACTGCCCCAAGCTTCATGTGACTCAAAATGGATCACATCTTCTCAATGCTAAGGAAACCTCTCCCGTTAGAATAGCTCAGCTGTTTCTCAATAATGCCACCTCATTGAGAAGCACCTGAAATACTTCCTCAAGTACTGGAATTTTCCCAAGAGAAGTATAAGAGCAGTATTCTTCATTGCTTCATAAATTACATGAGTGTATATGTCATTACGTATCTATATAATTTATGCTTAAAACAGATTTATTTGGTCAAGGAAGTAAAATCAGTCATTATTGGATTATAAATGTGTTTCATAGCCGTTAACTTACATTTTTCATTTTGCACTGAAAAGAATAACAATTTAATAATTCAAAACCAAAGATGAACTTAGATGACTTATTTGGTTTTGACTCTCTGAAAAATTGTTTTTGTAAGATGCTCTATATTTCCCTCTTTGTTATTATTATAAGTATTTAAATGAAGCCATTATGATTGTCAGGGCCATGAAAGAAATATGTCACAGGAAAAACAGGATTTTCATTCATATGTTTAAAGTTATTGGTCATATTTCAGTCCTGGAGAATGTGATTATGAATCTGGTTAGAATTAGGATGAAATCAAGCTTAATAGTATTACCTCTCCTGATGAAAGAGAAAAATTCTGTTGAGAATGTGAAGATAGTGTAGCAGAATTACTGTCTGTTTGTCATACAGCTAAGCTACTACAGTGAGCGCTGAAAAAGGCTTCCATAAATAATCACATCCTTGATCCATAAGAACACTTGGTTCATACTATTTTCTGCACTGAATACTTTGTAGGACTTGCTTCTCTAGTTCCTATTTGTATCCTGGTAGATGTCTTTAATGAAAATAAAGCAGGACTCTCTCACTGCACCAAGAGGGGACCAGAAGGACAAAGCTGAGCTCTTACTAAACTCTTTATATTGAGTAGCAACTGCCCATCAGTTTCTATAACCTTTTCTCAAATATACTCAAAATACCATATAAAATGGCAAGTTGTTGCCGAAACCGGTTTGGCTCAGTGGATAGAGCATCCGTCTGTGGACTGAAAGGTCCCAGGTTTGATTCCGATCAAGGGCATGTACATTGGTGGCTGGCACATCCCCAGTAGGGGGTGTGCAGGAGGCAGCTGGTCGATATTTCTTTCTCATCGATGTTTCTAGCTCTCTATCCCTTTCCCTTCCTCTCTGTAAAAAATCAATAAAATATATTTAATAAATAAATAAATAAAATAGCAAGTTGTTAAAATTAAAAAAAAAAATGCATGTCCTGGTAGAGCCACATAACCTGAAAGGTATGACAGAGTCTAAGAGCATCCTTCTTGTCTTTCTCACTCATCACAGGGACTCCTGTATAGCTCTAATCTTGTCATGCACAAAATAATGGACTTTCTTAGTTTGCAGTGTACTACAGTAATTTGTAAATACTTGAAGTTTTGTGTAATTTGATTTTTTCTAATTTGTAAACTCCATATCCTTTAAGTTTATACAACAATCTGTACTTTCCAAAGTGCTTTCAAACGTTTTGACAACCTGGTGGAGCATGTCACACAACTAAGTCCCTTTTAAAGGATAAGAAACAGGGACATTCTTAGGTAATACACACTGAAAAATACTTATGGGTATAAGACCATAATGAATGGTATATGAGTGTTTTTTTTCTATTATTCTTGCAACTTCCCTGTAGAGGAAGGTTAACAAACCTCAGGGGTATTTTGTAATTATTTTCAAATACAAAAATTTTTTAAAAGATACGGAGACACAGGGAAATTCAATAATTTGCATATGCTAATAGAGCTGATTATGTGCAAAGTAAAGAACCAGAACCCAGGTCTTCTATTTCTCCACATTTCCTCCAAGCCTGTAATCCATTTCTGTACAAACTAAAAAGTAATTTCTAGTTAAAAGTGTTACACCTTTTGCCATTCAGTTATCCATAATCAATACCGTAGCCCAGAGGAAACTAATAATTACTATTTAAGTAAAATTTTTACTTATATA